ATTTTCGTCGATTTGCGTTCGAGGTTCTTTGAATCTCCATTTCGCTTATAAAATGGCCGTATGTCAGTGAGAAGTCCACGGAGAAAGTACATTTGAAAAAGCGAATATAAAGTTGCAAAAATTTGATTAAGCGACGAACGAAGGGAGATAAGGCGCGATTATGCCGCTTCGGATCTCGCGGAGAAACTCAGTCCATCCGCCAAAATCCTAATTTTCCAGTCTGACTTGAGAGACAACGCGTAGTGTCGTCGTTCATTATTGTTCAAGCTGCCGCATTTCGAATCTGCTTTAATTTCGCGAAACGTTCTATATAAAAAGTTTGAAATAGGCCTCTGATCAGTAAACAAAATTTTTTTTGGTTTAAATAAATACATCAAACGTCGTCTACTAAGTCCCGTCTAATTTTCTAACATCAATTGAAAATGACATTTTCGCCTAGTAGGTCCATCTGATTTTTTCACCTCGATGTCATCTATGAAATACATCAAATATTAATTAGTAGGTCCCCACAAATTTTTTAACCTCAATTAGAAACGTCAAATATCGTCTTGTCATTCCTGTGTGTTATCTTAACCTAAAATACGAAACACGTCAAATATCAATTAGTACGTTCCTTCTGATTTTCTAACCTCAATTAGAAACGTCAAAAATCGCGTAGTAGGTACCGTCTGATTTCGTAACCTAAATTACGAAATACGTCAAATATCAATCAGTCTGTTCCTACCATCGATCTATGGTTCGCTGTGATTGTCTAACCTCAATTGGAAACGTCAAATATAGTGAAATTTATTTTGTCGTTTCAATCTGACATTCTTCGCGATTTTCAAATTTTCTTTGAATCCATTTCGCTTATAAAATGGCCGTATGTCAGTGAGAAGTCCACGGAGAAAGTATATTTAAAAACGCGAATATAAAGTTGCAAAATTTTGATCATGCGACGAACGAACGGAGATGAGGTGCGATTATGCCGCTTCGGATCTCGCGGAGAAACCCAGTCCGTCCGCCAAAATGTTAGTTTTCCACTCTGACTGGAGAGACAGCGCGTAGTGTCATCGTTCATTTTTTAAGCTGCCGCACTTCGAATCTTCGTTAATTTCGCGAAACAATCTATATAAAAAGTTTGAAATAGGCCTCTGATCAGTAAACAAAAATTTTTTGATTTAAATAAATACATCAAACGTCTAGTAAGTCCCGTCTAATTTTTTTCTATCATCAATTGGAAACGTCAGTTTCGCCTAGTAGGTCCATCTGATTTTTTCACCTCGATGTCATCTATGAAATACGTCAAATATTAATTAGTAGGTCCCCACTGATTTTTTAACCTCAATTAGAAACGTCAAATATCGTCTCGTCACTCCTGTTTGATGTCGTAACCTAAAATACGAAGCACGTCAAATATCAATTAGTACGTTCCTTATGATTTTCTAACCTCAATTAGAAACGGTCAAAAATCGCGTAGTAGGTACCGTCTGATTTCCTAACCTAAATTACGAAATACGTCAAATATCAATCAGTCTGTTTCTTCCATCGATCTATGGTTCGCTTTGATTTTCTAACCTCAATTGGAAACGTCAAATATAGTGAAATTTATTTTGACGTTTCAATCTGACATTCTTCGCGATTTTCAAATTTTCTTTGAATCCATTTCGCTTATAAAATGGCCGTATGTCAGTGAGAAGTCCACGGAGAAAGTACATTTGAAAACGCGAATATAAAGTTGCAAAAATTTCATAAGCGACGAAGAAGGTAGATGAGGCGCGGTTATGCCGCTTCGTATCTCGCGGAGATACCCAGTCCGTCCGCCAAAATGGTAGTTTTCCAATCTGGCTTGAGCGCGTAGTGTCGTCGTTCACAGCTGAAGTAATCAACAGTTTTTCTAATGTTATCTAAACAGATAAATAACTACATTCCATTACTTGGAAAAGTAGTTTAACTACAATTTATTTTTACTAATACAATATAGTAACTAACGAAGCAAATGTACCAATATAAAGGTTCAAGGGTTTAGGTACTACGGATTGGTTTAAAATTATGCAATTTTAGAGGGCAAGTAGTTACGTTAATTAGGGGAACAGGTATCCTAATCGTAGGCATATCAAGCGGTAGAGGTACGAAAATGTAAATAACCTAACCTAATAATAAGAAATACCTGTATATGTCGTGGCGTAGCAATGTATTAAGGTTAAAAAAAGGCCTAGTAAGGTAAAATAACGGTTCGCCGCGACCTTACAGACGTCTTTCGCGTTTGGCGTGAAATTATTTTGACAATCTGACGTTTCTAACGACATTCGAATTTTCTCCGGGTGGGCGTGTCTTAAAGCTTCAATCTTTACGGCTTGTGAAATGGTCGTCTGTCGTCGAGTGGACCCCAAAAAGAGGCAAAAATAAATATGAAAACGTGAAATGAACGTTACAAAAATGCCCCCGAACGATTAAGGATGATCGAATGGACATCTCGTGCCCAGTCGCACGCCATTCCGCAGTTTGCGGGAAAATAATTCTGTGGGGCAAAGTATACGTTTTCCAGCTGGCGAGAGAGTGTATTTTAACGTATTTACGGCCGCATTTCGAATCCTGCGCGTGATTTCGCGGAAAGTTCTACATTAAAGGTTTGAAAAAGGCATCCGGTCGATAAATATGAGTATTTTCCGCACGGCTTTAAATAAATAACGTAGGTAAAATAAAAATTAAATAGAGGAAACCGACGAGGCGATCGTCAGGTTTCATCGGTAAGTAGGGCGTGTCGGACTCGTGCGTTTCGTACAAAAATTGGGCCACGCCCCCCATAGGGCTCCGGGTGAACCGGATTTTAGGTAGGAAGGAGCGGAAGAACCTCCACCGGAATACCCCTAAGCGACGTGGCACTCTGGAGAAGCAGACCCCAACGCAAATCGGTGCTTTTTCGGGGCGATCGTGCGACGCAGACGGAGCTATCGGATTTTAATATATTTGGACTAGAAACTTAGGCAAGTCGGCTTTGCCGACTTGACGTTTCTCTCGGGCCTTCGGCCCTCGGGCGGCGCTGTGCATGAGCTCCGCTTTGCGGAGCACTGTCTTGCGCGAATATTTTTTAAATCATCAACACCATCATCCACATTACCATCATCTACATCGCCATCATCTACATCACCATCATCTAACAGCACCATCATCTACATCACCATCATCTACATCACCATCATCTATATCACTGTCATCTACATCGCCATCATCTACATTACCATCTACATCACCATAATCTTCAGAACTATAATCTCCAGCACAATCATCTACATCACCATCATCTACATCGCTATCATATACATCACCATAATTGCAGCACCGTCACCTACATTACCATCATTTACATCGTCATCATCAACATTACCATAATCTACATCGCTATTATCTACATCAGCATCATCTACGTCACCATCATCTACATCTACATCGCCATCATCTACATCACTGTCATCTATATCGTCATGATCTACATCACCATCATCTACATCACCATAATCTACATCGCTATCATCTACACCACCATCATCTACATCACCATAATTTACAGCACCATCATCTACATCTATATCGCCATCATATACATCTACATCACCATCATATACATCTACATCACCATCATCTACATCACTGTCATCTATATCGCCATGATCTACATCACCATCATTTACATCACCATAATCTACATTGCCATCATCTACACCATCATCTACATCGCCATCTACAGCGTCATCATTACATTACCATAATTTATAGCACCATCATCTACATCACCATCATCTACAGCACCATCATCTACATCGCCATTATCTACACACCTACATCGGTCGGGTCGTCGTCTACAGTGAAGCTGCGGCTAGTTGACCAACCCCTAGCAGTTCTGATTCGATGAATTTCAACAGCACTAACCGCAGATAACTTTAAATTATAACAAATTTTGAAGAAAGCACTTTTATTTGTCTTAATTACAGCGTTAGGTGAAGTTTAAATCTATAATCGTCCTTCTGAGCGGCTGGTTGGGTATTTATACTATTTATCGGCTAGCAATTCAGCAGGCGATTTTCTATTGTCAGCAGAATAATAACACCTCCCTCCTTAGAAAGGATTCCTCGGGGGTTGGAGCTTTGGAGTAGGTCCAGGGTCGGCGGACTTCAATGCGACAAGTTCAGTAGAGGAAGACTTTGGTTTTTCCATTGATTGCGTCTTCTTAGTCTTCCTGGGGGTTATGCGACAAAATCCTCTCCTGTAGGGGTTGCAGTACGAGAATATCCTGGGATAGCATTTACATAGAAATATGAGGAGTATGATAGCTCCTAAAGTTAACCATATCCAAAGGTCATTGGATGAACTGGCGGAGAAGTGTCGAATATGAACTCCGGGTAGTTCCGAGATTGATCTTTGTATGTCGTTTAAATATAAGAGAGGTTTTGTTGAAATGTCCAGTGAGAAATTGGAATNCATAACATTCCTATTATTTGATAAGCTTTAGATTATTCAGTTATTAAATGTTTGAAAATATTTGTCTTTGCGGAAAACACTATTTAAAGAATATGGGGCCCTTAAGAGCTTTTTCGATATAATTATATTGAAAGTGAACGATAACTGACTAGCGCGCGCACCGAATCGCCTGTACGAATTTTAAACGTGAAGCTTGTGTTAAATAATACGAGATTTGAACATAACGGAATCCTTCTTAGCTCTTAACCCGTACTTATCGTACCGTAGGCGTACCATACCATATTTAATACTACCACACTGTGCACCTGCGTACAGAGTCTTTGCATTACCAGCTGTCTAGTTCTAGTATCCAGTACGAGTACGAAATACGAAAGTTTCGTTCCATTTGAGAGTCGTATCATCTGACTCCCAACAAAGATTCGTATCGTTTATACGAATCACACGGATACTACCCATCTCTAATGGCCACAGAGTTTCTATGGTCAGAGAGTATGTATACTGTGGTATGGCTTTCACTTGCGTTAATTTTGTGGTTATGTGAATGTGATTGTTTCTTTTGACTATTGACCATCCAATAAAGGGATTTGGGTTTTTTGATAAAATATAATACAAATTCCTTTGTTGATTGTTGTGATCTTTAATATCTTGTCGGCTGGAATATCCACCTTAAACAAGTAACTTTAAAATATGTCTAGGAAAACTTATTTTAAGCAAGAATGGCTAGACGAAAAACTGTGTCCAGAATGGTCTTCAATAATAGCTGCAGTTTTAGGAGATAAAACTAGTTTTCTATGCAAAATATGCAATAAGAAAGTTACTTTGTCAAATATGGGGAGACAGGCTATACTATCCCATATAAAATCTGAGGGGCATAAAAAGAATATTAAGATTCGAGAACAAAATTGTGGAATCTCTAATTTCTTCAGTGTTAAATTAGACCTGAATAATAGCAGCGATGAAGTGTTACCAAGTAGCAGTACTGGCACACCTAAAACTACATATATGGGTTTTACAAGTTTTTTCTCAAAAAACGCAAATGTTTGCAAAGCAGAAATCTATTGGGTGCTCCATTTGGTAGAGACACATGGTTCACTAAATAGTGTCAATAAAAGTATTCCTCTATTTAAATTAATGTTTCCTGATTCTAATATTGCCCAAAATATGTCTCTGGGATCTACGAAAGCGTCCTATTTGTGCTGTTTTGGATTAAATGAGTATTTTAAAGAAATACTAGACCATACTTTAAAGAACATGGAACATTACGTTATATGCTTTGATGAGGCCTTAAATAAAGTGTCTCAAAAAGGACAAATGGACTTAGCAGTACGTTATTATAATGATTGCACTGATTTTGTCCAGACCCGATACTTAACATCTGTATTTATAAATGGCAGGCCTACATCCGAAAACATCTTAAAACATTTTTTGTTGGGTATTCAGGAATTAAAAGTTAATAAAATCATTCAAATATCCATGGATGGTCCTGCAGTGAACTGGAAATTTTACAGACTATTAAAGGAAAAATTAGGTGATGAATGTTCATTGGTGGACCTAGGGTCCTGCGGTTTACACATTATTCATGGATCACTCCAAAGTGGCCACAAAGCAAGTGGTTGGTCAGTAAACAGTTTCTTAACAGGCCTATACTGGTTATTTAAAGATGCCCCCACTAGAAGGTCTGACTTCATTGGTAAGTTTTTCAAAAATTAAATATTTTTTCTTCAAATAGATGTATTTTTAGGAATTACGAAGACATCAATATTTCCTTTAAAATTTTGCCAGACAAGGTGGGTTGAAGGGTCTCGTGCAGCTAATCGTGCATTGGAAATATTTGATAGTGTAAAATTGTACGTTCAGAGTGATACTGTAAAGTTACCACATTCGACCTCAACAAAAAATGTTTTAAATGGTATAAAAGATTATTTATTACCAGTAAAAATAGCATTTTTTTCTATGGTGGCAAGTACATTAGAACCATTTTTAACAAAATTTCAAAGTAATTTCCCTCTTTCACCATTTTTGTATACTGAAACATATATGCTAATTACAACACTATTAGAAAAATTTGTAAAAGAAGAACATATTCCTAAAGTTGATAAACTTTTTTATAAATTGGACTTTAAAAATCAAGATATTTTGTTACCACTTACTAAAATTGATATAGGTTTTGCTGCAAAAAGACTATTAAACAAGGCCAATTCAAACCAGAAAAACAAACTTATTTTCTTTAAGGATTGCCAGAGCTTTTTAATAGCCACTGTTTCAAAAATATTAGAGAGGTCGTGCTTGAAATATAATATGGCCAAAGGTATTTCTTGTCTTGATCCCAGTGTAATTAGGTTCAGTGCTTCACTGGCAGAGAAACGCATCATTACTGTGTTGGAGGAATTTTACGAGAAACATTTAATTAGTTCTGAAACTGCAGAAAAGGCTAAAAATCAATTCAAATTATTAGTTAGAACGCAACAAGAAGTATTTAAGAGTTACGGTAATGAACATTTGGATAAGTTTTTCAGTAAATTGTTAAAGAATAAACCTGAATTTTATGAACTATGGAATGTTGTCAAGATGATTTTAATCTTTTCGCATGGCAATGCTTCAGTAGAAAGTGGCTTTTCTATTAACAAACAATTGCTGGTAGAAAATTTGCAAGAAAATTCAATAACTGCCCAACGAGTAGTTTACGACAGTATTATGTGTGCGGGAGGAGGAAGTGAGATTATTATAAATGAAAAAATGATGAAATATTGTCGACAGGCACATAGTAAATACAAAACAGCTCTGGAAGAGAAACGAAGATGTATTGATGAAGAGGCCAAAAAAAGAAATGAGAAGCGGAAAATCGAAATTGAAATAAAAGATTTACAGTCAAAGAAGAAAAAACTGGATGCTACTTTATTGGCAGAGAAAAAAGAAATTGATGATAAATTACAATTGTTAAAAAAAAATCTATTTTAAATTATTTGATTTGATACAGTGGCAGCTGGTGAAATTTCAGGTATGCCATATCTCGATAGTCAGACATGAACCAAATGTTAGGGTATATGTATTGTGATCATATAAAGAACTTTTCTAGAAGGAGAACAATTTTGCAATTTGAAAAAAAATTTGAAAAAATTGTCTGTAGGGATTTTCAGACTGGCTTCTTTAATTTTCACGAAACTTTTTTTCATAAATTAAATGAAAGGTTATCGAGGTATTTAAAATGTATTTAAAAAGTGATGATATTTGTATAATTTATAGTATTTTGAAATTTATAAAATGTATCACAAATATAAAATTAAAATTTAAACTGCTGTAGTTTTAACAAAAATTATTATTTCTCGATATAATTTAAAATTCCTTGACAAATTTACGTTTAATTTATGTAAAAATTAAAGAAGCCAATCTGATCTGAAAATCCCGAGGAGAAATGGACTGTTTTTTCGTAAATTACAAAATCGTTCTCCTACAAAAGTTCTTTATATCATCGAAGTACATATACCTAACGTTTGATTTGGGTTCTTTGTCTCATTATCGAGATATGGCATACCTGAAATCTCACCAGCTGCCACTGATTTGATATGATGGAAGGTACAAATTTTCCCTTTTCCATTTATTAAAAGTACCTAAATTTCTAATGTTATATCTTACTTTACTGTGAACTTTTTTAATTATCATTTTTAAACTATTTAGTAACTTTTTCTTTAATTTAGTCATGAATTTTGTTTGATAAAAAATTAAGAAGTTTGTTATTTTAAGGTACAAATCAACATTATAATTTGCAATATTTTAATCTCGACTTTAATTAATATTATATGCTTTAAAATATTGTGATCTTAAAGTAATACTGTAGTTTATTTATAATAAAGATTTTTCTTATATTTTATTTTGTGTTTGCCAAATAAGTACATACTTATAAAAATGTTCTATAAATTATTTTTTTGTGTATATTTTTTTAAAACTTGAGGGAAACCTATTTTTGAAGAATTTATTTCATATCAGAGGTCAGGGAAAACATTCATCTTTAGGTATGGAAAACCCTGGAAAGTCAGGGAATTCAAGTTTTCAAAAGCACTGGGAACCCTGCTAAGTCATTGTCAAGTAGTGGTAGTCTGGGTGGGTGGTAACAAGACACCACCGTATCTGACACTGAGTGTCAGCAGTATTATAAGGTCTTGCATGTCTTGATGTAGAGTATAGCTTATGTGTAGATTACTGGAAATTAATCGATTACAGATATCAAAACATCGGTATCTGATTTTAGTAGTAACTATTATGATATGAAGTTTTGATACGCATGTATATGTAATGATATGGTAGTCTGGCAGATATACAAAAACATACAATAAAATAATATTTATTTCTACGACATTACCTGTAATATTTTGGAAAATAAAGAATATATAAAAAATATACAACGGTTAATAAAATAATCGCGCTGCCGCGCCATTAATCCATGGCTAGAAATTGGCCTCAATGATTTGGGATCAAGGGGGATTATTCCTCTGTATCCTGCCTCATCTCGTGTAGGTATGGACATCCTTCGTAGGTGGACCCCATCCGTCGTCTACCCCGACCGCAAATGCGGCCGGTGTAGGCACTTTGTGGGACCTCTTCTTGTCCTGGCTGGGCCCCGCCGGCTAGGGCCTTTTCTTCTAGCGAAGCAAGAGCGCCAGAACAATAAAATAATCTGTATTTGAGTAACATTAAGCCTGAAATATATTAGTAAATAATAAATAACAATATAAACAGAAATATAAGTAATAAATATAAAAAGTAAATGACAGTTATCGCATATTTGAATTTAAAACTACTACTTTTTTCGGACGTGTTCGGACTTCAATCTGTTTCTATGATTAAATTAATAGTTTGCACTTGCACCGGTGCACTGTCTGACAAGTTGTAACTGCGTGTGCTGGAACAGGAGAATAGGATAGGAATAGGAGGGGTGAATGGTACTATCGAATCCTTCCAGTATCTAATACAAGAGTATCAGACAAATACTTTCTGCACATTTGTACGACTCAGTGACGTGTTTACCACTGCTGCTCAAGTATCCGTTCCATGATTTTTAAATTTAAATACACCAGCAATATTTTGTAATATTCACTAACGACCTGACATGAATCAATTTTCTCTTTTGTTACATGTTGTTTCACCAATAGCAATCTGATTTCTTTGTTATCTTCGATACCATGTTTTCTTTTAATGCGATGCCCTGTGTATATTTGTTTTTTCAATCCTCTCTTTTTTTCCAATTATAGCAGTATAAATGTCATATATCTGCTTTGATAGCACAACATTTTGGTTTATTTATTGGTTGTGGATAATAGAGAAAGTGAAAAGATTGTCATGGTACCACAGTGCATATTTATGCAGCATTCAATTGTTTTTTTATTAACGTGTTTCTTTTAGATCACAAGAAAATTTCTTAAAACTTTGGTCATTTTTTAAACACAATGAACAAAGGGGTAAAATATTGTAAATATTGATATACATTTGACTAAATTTATTTTTTTAAAAGTTGCTTAATTTAGCCGCTAGAGAACGCTAAAGTGGGCAGTCTTTTTTTATAATTACTTTCAAATGCTTTGTAAAATTTAAAGTGCTCCATTCGTTTATTCAGATTTTTAAAACAATTTTGTTAATAAATTGAAGTAATTTTCTTTTACTTTCAGGACATATTCGTAACACTGGTAGATACATATTTATTTATTTTGCAATTTATTTGAAAATGTCTGGTTCTCAATATGAAATTTTTGATATTTTGATCAAAATACATTTTTCCCTGCAATAAAAGTTTCTTTCTTGCAAGATGTTCTTTCAGAAAAGTGTATTACTGAAAATACTACAATTATTTTTTTTATAATAAAAGACCCCAAATCACGTACCCCCTATATATCCAATATACGAGGGAAAAACTATTCTTCCATGAGACAATACTATCAATAATCTAAAGACCTGTGCTTAGTTTAGAGCTGCTTTTATTTTCTATTTTCAAAATAATTCAGAACAAGTAACAAAATCAAGGACATTTTTATTTGTCTTATGATTTTTTATGAATCATCATCCAATACTATATACTTTTAATAAAAAAGGATGAAAAAAATTTATTTTTTAGTTTTTTTTAATTATCAACCACAAAATGGGACTGTGATAATAAATAAAACAATGAAAATACTTTGGGCAAAGTTGAGATCAACAAAAAATGTAATTAAAATGTACATACAGACACAGAACCTTCATAAATAATTACAAGCCACATGACCAGTAATTTTGTTTGGAACAGTAATTTTATTTCCTTGATGCCGGTAATTATACGAGCCCTAATAACTTAATGTTCAGACAAAATGTAGTTTAAAAATAAAACAGCTATGTAAAATACGTATTTTTATTTTATATAGTGAAACCACTTATGATCAGTATAATTGGTAATTATCTTTCAAAATATGTGAATTATGTGGCAATATGCTACAAAAGAAGTGTTCTTCATCGTCTTGTAAGTTAACACCAACAAAACTACCAATTTATTCTGACAACTTAATGTTTGGACATTTAAAGTTAACGGACGTTTAGGAATGTACAAAAACGATATGTTGTGTTATTTTGCTAAGTAGGTGGTGCTTAAACTTAAAAACAAGTAACGCATATTGTTATTCATCTTATTGCTGTCAACGACAATGGTTCGTGGCGTAGCAACTGACATTAAAGTGCGAGAAATTATTGTTAAACTGTATCATGAAGGTAATTCGATGGAAAAAATTAGTATGTGTTTAAATATCGCAAAATCTATTGTCGGTGATGTTATTAAGTTGTATGGGGAAACAGGTAGCGTCAATATAAGAGGCAAAAGTAAAGGAAAACCTAATCGTGTGTCACAAAGAGGCCAAAGAGCATTGGTACAAATTTGTAAAACTAACAGAAGAGCCACTGTGCGTGCAATTACAGCCAAGTGGAACAAACGCTGCGGCTTAAATGTGTCCAGAGAATGTTGTAGGATATGGATTCATAAGTCTGGCTTGAATTTTTACAAGGTAGTTGATATATTTCTTGAATAAACTATAAAATAACACTTATTTACTTCTTTTTATTTATAGGCTAAAGAAAAGCCACTTCTGACTTATTTGGGCTAAATCCAAGTTATCGTGGACTATTCAAGATTGGACTGCAGTTGTATTTAGCGACGAATCCAAATTTGACGTTTGCGTGGGAGACTTGAGAAAGAGAGTAATACGAACTAAGAAAGAGGCATTTCATAAAGATTGTCTGAAACGCACAGTAAAATTTCCTCAGAGCGTTATGATTTGGGGATGTATGTCCGGAAAAGGTGTAGGCACTTTGAATTTCATCAACGGGACAATAAACGCGCAGAAATATCAAGATATTCTCCAAGAAAATTTATTGCCATCACTACAAAAGCTACATCCCACTGGAAATTTCATCTTTCAACAAGATGGAGCTTCATGCCACATGGCCAAATCAACAAAACATTGGTTTGCAAATAATGAAATGAACGTTCTATCGTGGCCTGCAAACAGCCCCGATTTGAATATAATCGAGAATTTATGGCACGTAATGAAACAAAAATTGCGAAACCAACCCCAGAGATCTGTTGAGGGTCTAAGAAAAACAATTCAAGAAATATGGAATAATTTTACCGAAGATTTTTGTCTAAAACTCGTTTCCACAATGCCTAAGAGGATCAAAGCTGTTATTGAAGCAAAAGGAGATGTAACTTCTTTTTAATTCATTCTTTTAGAATGTATTTCTAGTATGTCCGAACATTAATTTGCCAGAATACATTGGTATTTTTGTTGTTGTATATTACAAATATATTAAAAAAAAACTTCGTTTCTAGGGTTTCATCCCATAATACATAAATATAGGAAGATAAATACGTATAATATTGGAAATAAATGATTTCACCATATAAAATAAATATATAAAGTTTGAATAGCTGTTTTATATTTAAACTACATTTTGTCCGAACATTAAGTTGTTAGGGCTCGTATTTCGGCAAAATTAAAAATGATTACAACGATAAAATTCAGATGACATTAAAAAACAATATGTATACTGTTTCACTGGTTGGTGATTGGTGTAACTTTTCATGAGATTTTATTCAACCAATCAGCGATCGCATTATCTCATAGACATAATGTTTTGTCATTGTTCATTGCAAACGTGTCATTAATATTGGTGACGCCAAGATTTAAGGATTTTTAGTTGACAATACCAGCCATGAAATGTTTCTTGCCTAAGCTCGGCGGTCATGTGGCTTGTAATCATTTATGAAAGCTGTAATAATGTACATAGTATAACTTAATGAGACAAACATTCTAGTTACACGTTATGTCAGATTGTGCAATTGTATAAAAAATATATGAATGTGTAAAATCGACATTTAATGGCAGGAGGCAGAACAATTGATAAAAAATTAGTTCAAATGGTAGAGGTGCACCAAAATTCAGGATGGTTGGCAATCCTATTATAGCTTCATTTGGATCTGATGAGGGATTTTGGAGTTATTTGTATTAAATATATTTTTGGCATTATCATTCCATAACTTTCTTACAGAATGGGTTTTCAAATTTATTTACATAGAAAACTTTCTACTTAAATTGATATTTGCTACCTTCTGTTTCAATTTAATATGTTTTATAAGCAGCCTGCAAATCTTTTATCGCCAGTCTCTCTTTAAAGTACACATTTTCACATAAAATTGCTTTTATTGGATATTTCATCGAAATTATTAAACAAAATGTCATATAATCATCTACATTGAATTTGTTTTAAAAAAATGACAAGTGATATTATTTACAAGTCAGAATAAGCTGAAGAGATGGTAAAAATGAAAACAATAACTTAACATACAATTTTACAAAAAATTATTCATTACATGAGATTACACATGGACTTCGTAGATTTTTTTATACAAATGACATGAGTACAAATAAATATATTTACATCTAGATATTTTAAATATTTTAATTTAAAAAAAAACTTAACATTTGTTTAAAGTATTTAACAGAGTTGAACTGAAATTTTGTTTAAATTTTCATTTAGGTAATAAAAAAATAACTTTTATTTCTAAAGAATTAAAAAAAAATAAATATATTTTATTCGATTAATTTTTTTGCTTTAAAGTACCTTCTCAAATATAACACCTGCCAAGTAGCCAGTCCCAAGAGACAACACATCGAAAATATTGAAAAATATAAAACTCTGCTGTTTGTTGATTCTAAAAAAAGAAAAGCAATAATAAAGAATTACATTTTCATGTTTAACTTACCATTTGTATCTCTCATTTCTTCTTCCCTTTTTCTCATTATAGCAAAATCTTGTACAATGGCATTAGAGAGATCTTCCAAACGTTTTAACTCCTTTTCTATTGGCTTCAATTGTGCTGCTTCGCCATACTAAAACAACAGTACTTTTACTTGTATAACTGTATTCTTAAAATATGTTCTACTATATGGGCCAGGAAAAAGAGCTGGGAAATGACCATTTTGCACCTTTTTGTTTCGGCAAGTTGAATTTCTCACTATAGACGCTAAATATTATGTGCAATAACATATTAGTTTCCACAGTCATAAAAATGGGGGGAAGATTGTTTACATGGTGGTTAATTGTGTAATTTTTACGTAAATTCACGTTTTTCGCTTATATTTTTTTTCCATTCATTTCCACAAGAAAATAGTAAAGCACTTTTTTTTCGTCTTGAGAAGACCTACAAAACTAGCCCTCGAGCGTCAAAAAATATTGATTAGATCAAAAGTTATAAACAGAAGAAGTTTATTTACGACTTTTGAATTAAACATTTATAAACTGCTTTATTATTACCAGAACATTTTGGCATCGCATCCTCTCATTTCTTATCACTGTCTAATAACTCACACGAAATCTGGAATCGGTAAGTTGAATAGTTTACAAGTTATGGCCTTATAA